GGATTAAGTTTGCAAACTATAAAGAATACAGATGGTTTGATATGTGTCAAGACTCGTTTAACATTCAGCGACAATTTAAACAGTTTTAAATATCCTGTGTTATTACCAGGCAAGAGTTTTATAGTTGAGCGTTTGATTAGACAGAAGCATATTGAATTTTTACACGCTGGTTCCCAAACTTTAATTAATAAGCTACGTGAAAATTATTGGATTATCGGAATACGGCGCATAGCAAAGAGAACTGTACAACAATGTGTCATCTGCAAGAGGTACAGTGCGAAGCCCTGTTCTGCACCAGAAGCTCCGTTACCAGTGGATCGTATCACTTGTCGGGAGGCTTTTGCAGTAACAGGTATTGACTTTGCAGGATATTTATTGTTGCATAGTGGTCAGAAATGCTGGATTGCAGTCTTTACTTGCGCTACGTACCGAGCTGTACACCTGGAGCTGTGCACTTCGTTGTCCACGGAGCATTTTCTTTTAGCATTGCGCAGATTTCTGGCTAGAAGGGGCGCTGTTAAAGTAATATACAGCGACAATGCAACAAATTTTCGAGGTGCTAGCAACTTGTTTACGAACATTGAATGGACTAAAATATCTGAAGCCTCCCAAGCAAATAAAATTTCATGGCGTTTCATACCGCCGGCAGCCCCATGGTGGGGTGGATTTTGGGAAAGGATGATAAGAACAATAAAGGATATTTTACGTCGCATTCTGGGAAAGGCATCGGTTCATGAAATGGAGATGACCACCATAATCTGCGAGGTTGAAGCAATTATAAACTCCAGACCATTGACGTATATTACGGACAACACGGAAGGTTTTCTTCCATTAACACCAGCAATGTTTTTGGGTTCTGTAGGTGGGGTGGCACAACTGGCAGATATTTCTCATGTTGATGGTTTGACTGCAAGATGGCGGTACATAAAGAAGCTTACGGAGGACTTACGGTTACGTTTTAGGAGTGAATATCTTTCCATGCTCGTCCATAAGAATTCTGGCGATAGCACACGACTGGTCAAGGAGGGTGACGTTGTTTTGATTGGCAGCGATGATAAGAAGCGCGTGGATTGGCCTCTTGGGCTCGTGTTGAAGATAATGGCAGGACCTGACGGTCATGGTAGAGTTGCTCAATTACGCACAAATGTGGGCGAAAGAGTGAGAGCATATCAACGGCTGTATCCCCTTGAGCTTAACAGTAACAGTAGGGATTGTCGATTGGGGATTGATACACGATCAGTAGTCACGCGTAGTGGTCGTTCAGTGAGAGTGCCCCATAGGCTAGATTTATAGTTTTTTTTTTTTTTCGGTTTTGCATTGCTGTAAGTGTATGCTCTAGATGCCAGCATTGCAAGGTGGGGTGGATGTTGTGGTTGCGATTAGCAGTGGCTGGCCGGTTAGATTTTTTGAATAGAAATACCTTTTTTTTCTGTTCGTTGTCATAGTGATATTTTTCTGTTACTTCATGTCAAGGTTTAATTTTGTGAATAAGTAAAATATTTAATTCGTGTGAATTTGTATTTCTTAAGAATATATTTATTGTGTCCTATCTTCGCGGTTTTTATTTGAAGATAACACGATCATCGGGCTTCACTTGTACGAACCTTCACACTGAGTGTATATTTTTATACCATACCTTTACAAATATTTTTTTCTCTCTTCTTAACGCCAAACGCAATTTTACAAGTTCTAAATATGAATATCAGCATACAGTAAATCCGAACGCTTCAAAGAATTTCACATAACCTTGCCGCATTCCCAAGGCGGTGGGGTATGCGTAACGCATTTTCCTGACGTTTGAAAAAAGAAAGGGTTCCGTACTCAAAGGGCAAAAATGCAACCCTATTAGAATTGTATAGTCAACTGGTTCAATGTTTATAATTTATTACTGTAACACAACATATTAATAAAATCACACAGTGCAAGAGAAATTATAGACATTAACTTGAAAAAATCTTATTTTCAAGTGTGACCACTATATGGCGCTGTAAGCAATACAATGAAGCTATGATTTCACTTCATTAGATTCATAAGTACTCAATCATGTCATCATTTGGTTGAACAATTAGGTAGGGCATATACCGTACCCGTGTCCATTTGAAGGTGATAGGCCAGGTACTGTACAACCGTTTCAGGGGGTCTATTTTCTTTCTCCGAAACGAACTTTCCATAACGAAGTTCAAACGAAATTTAATTTCGCCAATTTAAGTTTATATTAATTAATTTGAAAGATAAACTATCAACATGAAGCTTTCTTTGAGTAGGCTTAGAAAATCTATATTCCGACGACGAATTTTATTATAATTAAAAATGAACCAAATAAGTGCGATATTTCGTTTTTCGTTGAATTAGAGTAGGTCTCCATGCTTAGTGCTGAGTTCGGGGTCTCACCTCCAGTCTGCCTCTTTTGGTCTTCTCATTCCATCTGTTGTTTACTCCGTATCTGATAATTAATCTCTTTACAGCGAGCATCGTCTATCATTTCGCCGTCGGTACTTCGACCACCTCTTACATTACGAAATATTTGAAATTAATATTACCTAATGTAAAACGGGCCTTATAGATACAACGGTATTCCTAGAGATTACTTTGGATTCTAAGCTTCAATGGGGTCCACATATTGACAAATTGTCAAATAAACTTAGCTCTGCAGCATATGCCGTAATGAAGATACGCCAGTTAACGGATGTAGATACCGTAAGTTTAGTATACTTTAATTATTGCCATAGTTTAATGTCGTACGAAATTTTATTGTGGGTAAAACGCCGCCGACATTCTATTTTTGTGCTACAGAAGAGAGCTATTCAATCAATTTATAAACTTAAAGAATCTTTAACAGATAAGTTTAAAGAAATTGGCATAATGACGGTCGTATCATAATACATACACGAAAATGTATTTACTTGTAAGAAAAAGTATTAACTTGTTTCTTAAAAACAGTGATGTTCACACACTTAATACAAGACTTTACCTGCTACTAGGCTTTACAAAATCAAAAATTCATTTAGAGGTTTTTGTGTTCGCTTATACAATAAAGTCCCAAGCAATATCCAAGAGTTAACCCTTAATAAATTCAAAGATACTATAAAAAAGCACTATTAGAAAATTTTATTACAAAGTGTCTGATTATATTACAGACAAAAATGCTTGGCTTTGAACTGTTCCAATCTTTCCAACAGGTTTTCTATATGGAATAAATCATGACTGTATTGATGTTGTAACAACATAATAATTTGTAAATGTTGTTACATTATTCTTTAAATGATGTGGAGTCCTTTTACCGCTCGTTTTTCTCTGCAGCTAAAAAAATCTCCAATAACGAGTAGTATGGAAAATTTCAGGGGGAATTAGGACGATTCAAATATATCTTTATTCAAATTGGATGTCAAAGGACATTGTTCTGCGTCCATACATTGTTAGCCTAAGAAACATGAAAATCATGAAACATTATTTACTAGGTTCAAAACTGCAAGTAAATGACTGTAAAAACAAAGATTATTGACGGACACTTCTGAGAACTTACCTATATAATCAGGAAAACTAAACAATTTTTTGAGGTTATGTTTAATATTAAATGAAACATAGGTCAACCTATGAGCTTAGTATGAACTCAGTATGACTATGAAGTGAATTAATATTACAACTAATTCATTTTTATTCGGTGCTATTTTAAATAATAACTATTAGGAAAAACTTGATTAGGTAGGAATCATGAATAAAATAAAAACTGTAGTTTTGCTTCTTATTTATTGACTATTTTTCACATAATTGTATCATATTGCATAATGTATTTATTTGTATATCACATGTATATTGTGTAAATATGCAGCGTGAATGTGTATCAGGTGCTCTTGAATAATTTGGCAGTATGATCCTCTCAGGATGTTGTGGCACAGGTTCACTAGCACTTTGTAATAAGGTCTCTGCTCTTTGGTAACACTGATGGCATATTAGATTATTAGATGCACGAAATATGAATGCCACAGATTACTACGAATGCAAACTGACTGCACCACAACCACAGAGTATCGAGTTTTATGCCGGCCCTTCACTTGACAACAGTCTGTCCTTGTCATGCTTAATAAGGAATGAAAAAGACAGACTGATGTCAAGTTTTCAAATAGCAAACAAGAATAGCCAAGTGAAGTGCCGGCATTAGGAAAAAAGAGTGTTTTGTTTTCAGCGCTGTCATAGATTATACACATAAAATGGTAGTCATTGTCTCAAATAATTTTTGTTAACCAGCTTAGTTGACTGGAAGTGTCCGTCACAATCTAAAAACTGATAATTATCGCATAAAATATACTAAGAATTATCATAAATGTCAAATTGGTGTTGGTTCTTAGGCCAATTTTAACATTGTCCTTTGATGTCAAAAAGACATACATGTAATTTGAATAAAGATATAATAATTTCTAATTTCCTATTGCTGTCACTCTTTCGTCTGTCTGTTTGTCCGTATGTCACAGGTCTCTAGATAGCATACAGAATGATCTACGGAACTAAAATTTTCATATCTCATGTAGGATGTTTGCCCAAAGCCGAATGTTTAGTTATAATTTCAATTAAATTCTTTTTTAAGGGGAGTGATATACATAGACCAATTTTTTTCTGTTTTACCCCAGCATGTGACACATGACACATTCTAGAGCACGCTTAATAGGATATAAGTATCATTTCATTATTTTTAAAAACAAAGAATTGGTGGGGCGTCGTCATAGTTAAAAATTATAAACTATATAATTTGTTACGGGGTCTATCTCAAAATCGAAACTAGTCAGGAATCTGAAATTTTGGAATATGATGCCCCCATATACTGTATTTAAACAATAAATACTGAAAACGCCGATTCATTACGTGCTTTGTAAGTTGTGACGAAAACAAACAAATGATTTTTCTTTTCGCGGTTCGTTAATGCGCGAGTCCGATTCGCACTTGGCCAGTTTTTAAGTTTCTCAGGTAACTCAAATCACGGTGTATCTCTGGTTAATTTTACTCACCTGATGTCAGGTCGCTTGCCCATGCTAGTAATAGTGGTTTGTTCATCTACTTCCTCGATGACCTCATTGGCAATCTTCATGCTGCCGCCGGCCGTGGCTGGCTTATTGAGGGTCGGGTTACTCGCTGATATTGTGAATCGAGAACCTGAAAATAGAAACATTACATAATTTTATACTTTAAGTACAGTATGCTTTCCGATGAATCTACTAGGGTTTTGCAGTTGGTATTACCACAATCGTAATGTCTTATTTACACATACACTGGCCTACAAATCACACATTTAAAAGTAACACATTTATTTCTAAGTAAGAGATCTAAGTTAGTGATTATCAATAAAAAATCCTTTTATAGCTAATTTTACCAGCTTTCTTTGAAACTGTGGTAGAAAATTAATCTCTTTTTTATTTTATTTTTAAATTTTATTTTTGTGAAGAGGATAAATGGAGAAGTGGCGATACCGTTGGCGTATGACCGAAAATAATTTTAATCTAATTAGATTCATATTTTGTAAATCGAAAGGCGGCTCTTTAATTCCGGGCTGCAGTGGCGATTTATGGCCGAGTGAAAGTCATTACGCGATGTTAATCAGGTCATAGGGTAGATAACTGTTGTTCACAAATTATGTTGGAGACGGCTCTAAATTTTAGTTCAAACTTTTAGTGTTATTCATAGGCTTTATTCGGTATAACCCTTATGAAGTGACAAGGGATTGCATCTGAGCTGTTTGAAGGATATTTCCTAAAAGTCTCCTAACGATACTGATCGGTACCTTCCTGGGTAGTCCTACTCAAGAGGGACGAAAATGAAGTGATTTTCGGCACATTTTTTTTTTGCCATCTAAGGTCATAAAAGTAACTTGCCGTCTACCTTAGGGCGTTTTTATACTGATATCAAACAGGCCAGTCAAAAAAATAATATATATCAAATTTATTACCATTTAAAAAATGATGGGCCCAGGAGACTGAGTATTGATACAAAATTGAAACAAATTGAATCGGAATTTATTTATTTATTTTATTTGTCCGTGTTTGGGTTACAGATATACATGTATGTGGGTATTTATGCAGAAATATGCAATTATGACGTCCTTTCGAATTATTTGTACAATTTAAGTTTTTTGACTCTTTTTTGGTATATTTAGTAAAAGACGGTCTTTCGCTTGCTGTTGCTTTAAAAATAGTTGGTCTATTTCAATTAATCTGTCTTTACGATCATTTCAAAGTGTCGATTTATCATGTCCGTGGTTGCCCCAAAACCCAAAATGTAACATCAAAATCAGAGTATAAAATAAATCGTACTTGTTTTATTTTAAAATCTTGCCACTGCATTATCTAATATTTTAGTTGAGACATGTAGCTTTAAAACACATTTAAATTGTCTCATTAATTAATTTAAAACATTTTTTTTTTATTTGTGATTTTTTGTTTTTGTCACGATAACGCATCACCTGGAAAGCCTCCGAAAAAATGAAATTCTGCGTGGAATTTCTAGCTTGAGAATTACACACAAAACCATAATTATTAAGTTAGGTAACATTAAAAAGTATTACAGGATGTCATCTTGAAATCACAAGATGTATGTGAGTAGTTTCATTTTCAGAGATAAGTAGGAAAACTGCCTGATCGGTATTACCATGTGCGTAATTACCAAGGTTTACCGTGTTTTATATTCACCACGGTGACGACCGTCAGAAAAAAAAGTTACCCAGAAGATGTCTAATTTTAACAGGAAAATCTAACACGACATTCACTAGATTGGTTCCTTTTTTGCACTTCATTTAATTAAAACTTGGCCAACACGAACACTGTAATGACAAAGACCGCCTGCGGATATGATTCATACACCTCAAATATCTGTACAAAAAACAAAGTGTCTAGGAATTGAAGGTCAATGTTCAAAAAACCAAATACATTTGCGGTGAGCTTACATCACAACCGTAGTTTCGCTCACCGTGTTACATAACATCTAATATAGAAAACTGGATAATACTATACACTAGACTTGCAACGAATATTCGGTTACTATTCGATATTCGGCCTATTCGGCTGCTTTTATTATATTCGGCCGAATACCGAATACTTAAATAATATATTTTGTCATAGAGAAATAATTGGTAAAATGAAAAATTAAAATCGATTTATTACGTATATATTCATATTTTCATTTCTGTTATATAATCATTTAAGTAGTCATTGGTACATAACACAGTTACATAATCATCTTCTGAATTGGAAAAGTGGAGGATTCTATGTATTTGAATTATTGTGATAATCAAAATTTAGAAGGGTAAGGTTCTCATTTCTTTTATAATCATTTTTTAAGTTGTCATTGGTACATAAAACAGTAGGTACATAATTTAATTATTTTCTGTATTAAACAAGTTAACAGTTTTTAATTCATTCAGTCATGTGATGAATGGTTACATAATAGTAGGGCTGCCATATTTTGGTAAGGTATCATCGGGACGCTTTGGCTGGCTGAAATGGCGAGTAAGAAAAAAAAACAAATTTTAGGGCAAGGCAAGACAAATATTTATTTTCTTATTACATAACTTAGGAATTAGCAGAAGAAGTACTCGGCATGTTATATTTTTCCGAGGACTTAACTTTTTTTAGCAAGGCTATATTGCCTTTAACATAATGGTAGAACTCAATGCATGTCATATTATAGTTTATCTGACACTGTAATATTGACTCCACTGTTTTCGGCAGCAGAGAATTCCTTTCATCAGTCCACTGAGCCGTCATTAAAGAAAACACCCTTTCCACTGTAGCGTTGTGGGCTGGAATTGCAAATAAATACTGGCATAGTTTAAGCATTTGGCACTTTCTTTCGGGATTTTCGGTTTTGTTCAAAAAGTACATCCATTTCTCTTCCAGAGACTTCTTCGACTTCCATTCTTCAGATGCCCGTTCAGACTCCAAAAAGGTTTTCAGATACGTATATTCTTCATAGCATCTGTCACCCAAAATCTCCACACCATGTTCAGTAAGATATAGAATTGTGTCTTCAATCTTCGCCCATTCTGGGATTTCAGTTAGCGTCATCCAATTGAAAATTTCATATTTATTAAATGAAACAGACCACTTTTTCAGATAATCTATTGCTGTATTATAAAACAGTACCGTCTCCTCCTCAAATTTAGAAATCAATATTCCTGTTTCAGGTGTTGGATTTTCCCTTTTAAGTTTATTCAATTCTATTTTAGTTTGCATGCCAATAAACTTGTCAGCTTTTCTTTCAAGCAGTTGTTTTTGTGTTTCATCTAAGATGTTTTTTATTTCAATTATAGATATTTTATTCTTTTCAACACTTCTTACATTTCGTTCGAATAAGCTCAAATTGGACAGCAAAAATAGAAAATAAATTTCACTGACCGGATTTCTAAAGAAATCTGAAATTATTTTAGGTGGCCGTTCTTCAGCGTCAAAAAAATCTTTAAGCGGAATCCAAAGTTTTAGGATTCTCTCAACAGCGGGCATTAACGACAGCCATCTTGTTTTTGAGTGCGACAAAAGAGTTTGGTAATTTATATCAATAAATGAGCAGAACTCTTTCAGCCTCTCTGTGCGAACTGTGTATATCGAAAAATAGTGAAAAATCTTTAGGACAATGACTTCAACATCCACAGATAAAATTTCAGCAGCGCTGGATACTGTATTGTGCAGAATGTGGGCCGGACACCCAATTCCTTCTAACGATTTTCCTAATTCTTCCTTCATTCTCTTGAAAACATTGTTTTGACCATGTCGATTCGAAAACTTTAAATTATTGCTATTATGATAATAGCAATAATTTAAAGTTTACGCGCCGTTTTTGCCATATCTCAAAAGTTGGTTTTGTCATTTAGCCGCATTTTAGCTCGAGGACGGCAGATTAGAACAAAACAAAGGAGCGCGAAACAATCACGTCTGTACAAGTTTTTGGCGCTAAAATCCAGCCGAATACTTTTGCCTAATATTCGGCTATTCGGTTAGGGGCCTCGCCGAATATTCGGTATTCGGTATACTGCCGAATATACTATTCGTTGCAAGTCTACTATACACACATTCATTCATCATGCAAATGTATTTAATAATCGAATAAATTATTATTATATTAATTAATGGATTAGCATGATTTTTTAAAAGATTCTTAATAAGTTTTAGTTTGATTAAAAAACTACATTTTTTGATTAGGTTGGTACCTATATATAATATCTTAGATTATAAAAGAGAATATACCAACATGGTACATACTGTCTGGGATATGACACGTGGATACACTTGTTTTATCAAAATATCGTGTAACCAGCTGACGTTACTAACGAGTTTGTTTGCTCTTCAAATTTAAGTTAATTTAATTTTCGCAAGCAACCAATCTGTGGCCCAGAGTAATGTTTCGTAAAGGAGTCGTTCATACTCTTAGCGCAGCAGACAATATCGGGTTTGATTCCCACCCTAGGTAAAAGATTTTTTGGGCAACCATTTATGAAAATAAAAATTACCGCCGTCTGTTTGTGAGTTGGCTGTAGGGGGCGTAGTGCCAGGTCGCTGCTCCTCTTTAGAGAACAACCGTTTCAACATGGAAGTGACTGAATTGTTCCGTGTCATTGGCGTCTGCTGCAGCGACGCCATCGAATTGCTGGACCCCATAGAGTTGCGGTCCTCCTTCTTGCCTCGCTTACTTCCACGCGATACTATGAAATGTATCCCAGACACGGCGTCATCGTTCATCTGTAGTTGCTGTGTGTACATGGAAAGCGGCACATGAATATCTTACTCTGATAGAATATTTCTTATGAATCAAGTTTGAAATAGTGAGAAATGAAATATATTATCGGCAAGACAAAGAAAATTAAAACAATAAAGGAAAAAGAACAAATTATTATAGAGATATGGAATAACACAACTGTATATTACGCAGGTATGTTATAGGAATTATTAATACCCACTATGTTTAAAAACAAAAAAACACTGAAAGGCAGGCGTTAATTTCATTCGAACACGTTAGTTAAATTTAGACGCGAAGGAGTTACGTACTGTCAACAAACAATTGAAATTTTAGAACGATAAATTATCTAAAGAGAAACAAAAGCCAGATAGTATTAGATGAATAAATAGAACTTATGTAACGAAGTTATGTTATTATTCTTATGTTAGATTGTTATTTTTTATTAGTTCCCACTTATGTAAAGGACATGGAACATTATTTCTCCTAAGACTATATTAAACCAGATAAACAATAAAAAACTTCCTCGGTGACGAATTGTCTTGTTAATGAGCTACTCAAGTAATCTTATCTGCGTTTTTGCGGCAAGTGATAACATGTCATAGTCGTAAGTAACTATTTGATGATTCAGATAAACACGCAGCTAAATTTATAACATGACAATGTCGAGTCACAATTTGTCTCTGACGTCCCATGTCCTTTGTAATGTTCCGTGCCTTAAATAAGATTGTATCGCATTCGTGATTTCGCATTAGTTAGTTTTATCTATTCGCGTTAATCAGTTCAAGGGCTGCCAATATCTATAAATCATAAAACTTATCTTTTGTGTTGAAATGTTATCATTGCGATCATTTTAAACTTATCAGTCTTCGTTTGCTAAGATCACAGAATATATCTTCATAATGATATAAGTACTTATAAAGAGATGTTTAAAATGAATGGTCTACACGGAAGTGTTCACGTCGTTACAAAATTCTAAATAAATAGAGCCAAGACCGTAGGAATACTATAGATAGAAGAATGTTGACACACACTTGGCAACCCTCAGCACCGCCACACTGCTAAGCTCCATACATCGAGCGTGCAGCATGCTCGTAAAACGTCGGGTCTAACCTCTGGCGGGGCGAACTTGTAACTCACGGTGTTGGAGGGAACCATCTCGTCGATTTTCACTGTGGACGGTGCTGACAACACCATGCTGCGTTGCCTCACTGGAACGTTCACTCGCGCAGTCGAAGGCTCAGGATGCTCCTCCCTATCTTTTTCAGTAGCGATCGTGTACGGCAATTCCGATGGAACTTCATCCCAATACTGATCTCTTATCAACTCGGGATGCTCGTGGTGCATATCGTCTACTATCATGTATGATACCTGCGCGTACAATAAATACAAGGTCAATGGTTGCGTGGCGTGGTAACAATAGTGTTGTTAGGTATTTCTAAGCTAAGAAGGTACAAGAATTTGTTATTACGATACTAGTAGGTATAAAGGCAAATTAGCTACTATTAGGGAAAACATCGATTCTATCTAACGTAAATACTGTTAAAACTACTTTTAACAATAACAAGTTAAACATGCTCTCAAATCCAAAATATAATTATTTAGAGACATTTAATATTTATAGGTAAGTTATATAAACGTAAGAAATATACACAACAATACATTCCAAAAAGTAATTTATTACAATATTTTCTTTAATATGAAGTACACCTGATATCTCGAGTCGTAGGTTACTCAAATTTTTGGTGTTTTGAAATCTGTATGACAAAGTTTTAAAAAGATATGAGTTTTAATAAAGCTATTTTGTATAAATTAATTATCAAATTTTTATGAGAAGCGAAATCAGAAATAAAATATATACCTGCAAATTCCGATCTATCAACCAATTGACTTCGAAGTCGTCATCGTCTTCTCCGAAAGGATTTATCAATGACTCCGCCACTTTCAACCAGCCCATGTAGAAGAAGAATTCTAGTGTATTGAATATAGGAAAATATAGATCTATATTACTAATGTTAGATTTCGAATGAGAATCCAATTTGTTGTCAACCCATTGACTGCCTAAAGCGGATGTTATAAAGTATGAGTACACCGCTATAGTAACTACCTGAAATGGTACGAACATTGACGTTATAAGTAACATTGACAATAATCGAATATGAATAGAGATGATGAGCAAGCAATTATCGTCTAAACGCTATCACCTTTAACTTCGTAAACATGGTGTGCGGAAATAAATTAAATTAAGCTTTGTTTTTTCTACGGAAGTAAATTATTTGTTCAATCTTAGGATTAGCTCATGGGGTAAGTTGAAAAAAAAATATTATGACGGTTGCATTAGTAAATAATTAGGGTCACTAATAATTTGCTAGAATAATATAAACTTAAAAACTATTTGAAATATGTTAGACAGAGGAACGACCAAATATATTTAGATATATTTTCTGGTGCTCTTATATTTTCTACAGCTAAAAGAGGCTCAGAAAGTGTGGCAGGGGTAGGAAAAAATATTGAAGACTTGGAAATATTTGTTATAATTCCAATTTGAATAAAGAACGTTTAACTGTTACACACCTGAGTATATACCAGGGGAATACTAATGGTGTCGTAACTGAGTAGCAGCCCCGCCTGACCCCTGAACTTGTTTAGTTCGTCTATGATAGTTTTTACTGCAAAGTCATCTCTTATTCGGCCCTCTTTACGAGCTCTCGTCACTATACTTGTAGCCCATACAATGGGTAACCTGGAAATTGTAATAAGCATGAGATACCTATGTGTTAAGAAGATTCAACAAACCAAGTGAGAGTGACAATCCCAAGTACTGAGAGCGATTGGTTTATAGCTGTAGGTAGGTATCTATATGAAACTCAACTCCATAAAAAAGCGCTGTATGAGATTAAAAATTGATTGTCCTTATCTATGTTAGAAATATTTGTTTTAAGTATATAAAATTAAGATCTTTTTAAACCTTCTGGTTTGACCTAGTCATAAAGTTGAAAATTACACGTAGGCTGTTAATACTTAATTTACAAATGCGAATATCTGTCTAGCTGCAAGCTACTGACTTAAGTTCTTTGGAAACATAAACTCTAAAAGGAGATAGCTCAGCTTCCATACATGTTTGGCCTAAAGACCAATAATCATGAAAAATTGTTTCCTAGATACGAAATTATATATAAATTACTGTAGAAACGAATATTTTTGACGGACACCCCTGAGAACTTCTATAAACCATAACACTGAACAATTTTGAGGTTATGTTTGAAAATAGGTACGTATTAAAATAATAAAAAACAAATAAGTTATATAGTAAACTAGGGAAATCAAGCCAAGTACCGAAAACCGAAATCATGTATTAGATTCAGGTATATAGAGCATGTAGAATAACAGATAGTTGTCTAAAGAAAATATAACTAGAAAAAAAAACTCCACGCGGACCAGGCAGCAGACGGGACTCGAACCCGCACCCTTCGCAATCCGGGCGAATGCACTGACCAATTATGCGCGGCCCTCACGGACCGCGTCGAAATTCTTTCTAGCTATTCTTAAGCTGCAAGGCAGCGCCATCTCTTCGCATTATAGGTAAACCCACAATGTCAAATGAATACTTTTACAAGTATTAAAGTTTTTTTGGCGGGATTTCATCGAGTGCGGTTGGCGTCTTATTTTAATTATTCTTAAATTCGTTCATAGTGGATATTGTGAAATAAAATTGGTGTGGTTTTGTGTAACAACTGTCTGCGTAACTGTAGAATTAGTGGAATCATTAAAATATACGCTATTCCGGTCAAGTGGACGTGAGAATTTTATTGTAGTGTTGACTACCTCACAGAAGCTTATCGAAAAAGCCAACTCGATACATTTCGTGCCAAACACTCCAAGAAACATTAGAATGCGTCACACCGACATTCTAATGTAAAAACAAAAAGAAGATAAATTTAATTAAAGACCAGGCTGTATGGGCATTGTTCCCTTTGCCTTCCCTAAAACGGAAGAACTTCAACAAAAAAAAAACAAGTATTAAACATTTGAAAGAAGAAATAGCAATTATAGTTATAATTTTTATTATTTTTAAAGCATGTAACTGCTTGATGTTTAAATCTAAAGAAAATATAACTAGAAAAAAAAAAAACTCCACGCGGACCAGGCAGCAGACGGGACTCGAACCCGCACCCTTCGCAATCCGGGCGAATGCACCGACCAATTATGCTACCGCGGCCCTCACGGACCGCGTCGAAATTCTTTCTAGCTATTCTTAAGCTGCAAGGCAGCGCCAAGCAGTTACATGCTTTAAAAATAATAAAATAAAAAAAAATTATAGATAGTTGTCTGTTTTTAAAGTTAATGCACAAGAGTAACTTTTAAAATCAGGTATCATTTATGCATTTCCGGTTATAATAAGGAAGGCACTCTGTGACAGAAACTGTGAATGAGCCACAGATTAGAGAGATTTTTTAAACTCTCGTTAACCAAAGAAAGCTAAGAGATTTAGGTTATACAGCCATATCTTCAGATGTATTAGATTCAGGTATATAGAGCATGTAGATTAACAGACAGTTGTCTGTTTTTAAAGTTAATGCACAAGAGTAACTTTTAAAATCAGATATCATCTATGCATTTCCGGTTTTAATAAGGAAGGTACTCTGTGACAGAAACTGTGAATGAGCCACAGATTAGAGAGATTTTTTTAAACTCTCGTTAACCAAAGAAAGCTAAGAGATTTAGGTTATACAGTATATATATCTTCAGTAACTTCATTATTTTTGTTATGTTTATATTATAACCATATTTTAGATTTTTAGTGTATCACACTTATAATGTGTTTATGGAGGTGTTTGGCGAAAAATGTATGGCAATAGATTTTAAGATGTCGCCTACCATCTATAATAATTGTCTTAGCACATTTGCATGTTGTGAAAATGATGCTATAGTTGTGGATATTAATACCACAGTGTAATAAAAAAAAATTATCGATCTTTACAAAATAGATTTGATATTATGTTATATAAACAACTTCGATCAGTTTTTGGCTGAATGTGACTACACCCATAGCCATTAAAAATAATTCGTATGTTTTCCAAACCAGTAAAATTAAAAGTCCTTTTTAAAATGAATATTATTATACAAAGGTGTCCGTTAAAATCTAATAACTGTAAAATAAAGTATAAATTACGCCAAGAATTACCGTATATGTAAATATTTTCGGTGCATTTGGGTCAATTTGAGCAATCTCCTTTAAAAGTTATAAATTACCTGCTTATTTATAATATTGATAAATTTGTATGTTAGAAAAAAAATGTCCCCAGCCCCTGTGAACTGCTAATTCGATCAATATTTTTAAACTTACCAATGTTTTGAAGGCTTTGGAAACTTCTCATTTAAATTGTCAAGTATGCTTTTCTCATTGTCGAGAAGTAATCCAGCGTCTACGAGATTATTAAGCGTGGGAAATCTTTTCTTAACTCTAGGGGAAATCATTGTTAGCACCATCGTTAGACAAAGACACACGTATCGCAAGATCGTGCGTCTCATCAACCGCCCTCGCTCATCCTGAGAAAAGTATTCAAGATAATTTGATTTCTTAGATTGATTTATATATCTTACTTTAAAAGCCCGGAAATTGGTAACTCCTACGGTTTTCTAATAACACTTAAAATTTTAATACTTACAAAAGCCATACGGGTCAAACCTAAGATTAACCTACATTCGGGCCTTATATTAAATTATACAAGGTCTAATCTACCAAACCTTAACCCAATTGAAATCAGCATATCTTCATTTGCTCACAAAACTGAAAGTAGGTATTAGGTAATGAAAATTGTAGGCACATTAAAATTAAATAGAGATAAGTTTAAATTTAAAACAATATATGGATAAACATAACCATAAATTGTTTTAAACTTTCATGGTTACTAATATTATAGTTATTAGCGGGATTACTAGCGTGACCTTGTTTTTTGTAAGTCTCCAGACAACCGGTATTTTGCCATACCAAAGGAGTGATGGACAAGATTTCGAACATACTTAATAAGTACTCACCGAATACTGTCTACAATCTTCTACAAAGTGTCACAGGTTCTACGGTCTCCTAAAGACAACTTCCCCTTGGAGAAACCTGGTGTCTACAAGAGCGACTGCATCTGTGGTGGTTCGTACATTGGCCAAACAAAGCGGACAATAGCGTGCCGAATGAAGGAACACATAAAAGCAGTCAGGAACAGTGCAATATGCACAAATCAGCCATCACGGAATATTTAATTGATTTGGGTCATGACCACTGGATTGAGCTCCATAATCTGAAGATTAGCTCGACAGAACGCAACAACATATCAAAATTGGTCAGGGAAGCGACTGAAACAACCAAACAAGAATTGTTATCGTAAGGATGGGTTTAAATTGTCAAGTATCTGGAATCCAGGGTTTGTATGTGCAAAAGCTGAAAAAATATTAAGTGTCGTTTCGCGATTGGATACTGTAAGTATTGTGATATCTATGGTTTTGGGTGTCGTGAACAGGTGCGAGTGAGTAGTGAGAATGTGACACCTTTGGTAGGGTTGTCGAGGAGGTGTCGAGCGCAATAAAAAACTATGACAGAAGGTAGACCGATATGTCTGATAATAACATCTACTAACAATTACTTCCTCCGTGATTTTGAAATATCGGAGACTCACCAAAAACAAAGTACGTGGTAGCAATAACAGTTTATGTCATTTTATAAGGAACTTAGTAGCTGCGGGCATCATGTGTATTTTTATCAAAATTCTTTAAATAACTAAAATATAACATGAATAAATAATATTATTATTTGCCATAAAGGACATTGTTCAGCGTCCATACATAGTTAGCCTAAGACCCAACAATTATGAAATATTATTTTCTAGGTTCAAAATAGTAAGCAAATGACTGTAAAAACAAAGATTATTGACGGACACTTCTGAGAACTTAAATTATTAGGAAAATTTAAATTTTTTTTGAGGTTATGTTTAATATTCAATGAAACATAGGTCAACCTATGAACTAAGTATGAACTCAGTATGAAGTGAATTAATATTACAACTAATTCATTTTATTCGTTGCGATTTTAAAGAATAACTATTAAGAAAAACTTGGTTAGGTAGGAATCATGAATAATATAAAAACTGTAGTTTTGCTTCTTATTTATTGACTATTTTTCACATAATTGTATCATATTGTATTTATTTGTATATCACATGTATATTATGTAAATATGCAGCATGAATGTGTATCAGCTGTTCTTGAATAATTTGGCAGTATGATCCTCTCAGGATGTTGTGGCACAGGTTCACTTGCACTTGGTAATAAGGGCTCTGCTCTTTGGTAACATCTATGGCATATTAGATAGCCGAAATAGTTAAATCAAAGGAAAAACAATAGCAAATAAACACACACAACGGGTAATCCGAAACGAGAATGCACTTTCCGGTATATTAGACTACTCTTTGTATGCACGAATGCCACAGATTACTACGAATGCAAACTGCATGCACGACAACCACGGAGTAACGAGTTTTATGCCGGCCCTTCACTTGACAACAGTTTGTCCTTGTCATGCTTAATAAGGAATGAAAAGGACACACTGATGTCATATTTTAAAATAGCAAATACAAATAGCGAAGTGAAGTGCCGGCATTAGGAAGAAAGAGTGTTTTGTTTGCAGCGCTGCCATATATTATACACATAAAATGGTATTTATTGTCTCAGATTATTTATTAACTTTTTAATTTAGCTTACTTAACTGGAAGTGTCCGTCGCAATCTAAATACTGATAATTATCGCAAAAAAATATACTAAGAATTATCATAAATGCCAAAGTGGTGTTGGTTCTTAGGCCAATTTTTACATTGTCCTTTAATTTGCATAACATTAACTTATTTAATTTCTGCAGACTTGATTTTAATCAGTACTTAGATGCATACATAAATGTAGTATGTATTTAATTCACTTGTAACATCATGATATACGCCGTAGGCATATTATTTACATGTACCTCATGTTCCTTAAGGAAATAATTCTATGGAACTCATATTACATACATTCAATTTTACATTTATTAGGTATATTTACATAGATAACATTGGCAATGAACAAATACTAATAAATTCCGGACAATTCGCAACAGCTAAGCCAATGCATATAGAAATTATATAAAGAACGTGCAGTATATAATACAAGCCAAGACTCGATATCAAATAAGTACTATACTTATTTGTTAGTCAAAAAATAAATAAAAAATCAATAAAATGTTTAAAATCATTACTAAAAATATAATGATTTCTCGGCTGGGGATCGAATTGAACCCGGGTCGTCCACGTTGAACCATCGGTGCTTGGTGAGGTCTGATTTTTTTAATAACAATCAAAAAGGACATGCTAAAGATGGGCGAAAAAATTTGTGATGATGTAATATTTTTTTTACTATCAAATCGTAAGTAATTGATTAATTGATAATGGTAATGACGGGGTTAAGTAAACGAAATTCTATAGAATCCGTCAGTTGGATTATTATCAAGAAAGGACACTTAATTTTCCCATTGTCAATCTATCCAAAAATAAAAAAATTAAAGCGTTTCAAAGTATGGGTACTTTTGGAGTAAAAATTATACCAAGACGTGACGTGACTGTTATGTTTTGGTAATTGAAAAAAGAAAATATTTACGGTTATCTACCTGGGGGTCGAAAACAAAAAGTTAAGTCATCACTCCTATTTATTTTAGAAGGATAATTAAAATGAATATGTAATTGTATATTCACTACGATTAGTAATATCTATTACGTAATGAGATAGCAATAATCGTAAATAGAACTGTTATCTATCATAAATTATTCGAAATTATTTTAGATCTATCACTTTAACACAATAAAAAACTGTTATCACGGTACAGTGTTATCAACTTATCATATATTCATATCACTTGTTATGTTAATCCGTTCATCATACACTGCGGAAGACAAGTCACCTCCTCTGTACGATTTTGTTTGTTGTACCTCTAAAGTCTGTAGGTAGGTATATTATTTTTTGTTAATAGCAACGAGTCTTTCAATTTAAATGTAACATTAGATTTTTAATGTCGAAGTGTGAACAGAAAATTATTTTCACTAAAACCATGCTAAAACCCGTTCATCAAACAACATTAACATAACGTTAATGTCATTAGTTCATGATATTCCCACACCGTTTTGTCAATTTTGTTTCATCGTTTTGTGGGCTTTGGAAACCTCAGTTGAAAACTGTGATTTCTTATCAATCTCGGCTGTTTAGCTTATCTAAATAGCCGAGATAATCTTAATCCACGGTCATATCGTATCTTGTCATGTTCTGACAGATGCAGAAGATTAGGTTTAGAAAAGTGCATCGGATATAAATAATAAGGTGAATTCATTTAAGAACTATAAGATACTAGCTGACCCAGCGAACTTCGTACCGCCATAAAAAAAATTAATTAAAAAAACATTGTCCAGCGGACAAAATTGTGAATCTAAACCATTCTCAGATCCCCTTGAACACACACAAAAAATTTCATCAAAATCGGTCCAGTCGTTTAAGAGAAGTTCAGTGACATACACACTCACAGAAGAATTATATATATAAAGATATTAAGGTACACTTGCAGCAATTTTGCTAAATCTCAATTTAACTAAAATAAGATTTAGCCCATACAATAATGTCAAATCGACATTGTTGACATTTTTCTATGGGTTAAAGTTAGTTTTAGACGCCGCACGTGCAGCTGTTGTCGGTATTGATTTCGCGGTAGGCTCCAAGTGCTCCGGCGGCAGCAGGAGGCGGCCATTCGCTTCCTTCATTTCAAGAAAGTCGTGTGTGTGAAATAATAGTAAAAAATTTAAATAATAATACTTTATTTAAAATGTAATCATTAAAAGCTCTTTTCTTCCTACAACCCATTCAGGACATCTTTTATCTTATAACACTGCAAGTGCAACCTGCATCTGCAGCCAACGGCCATGATCGCTATAACACCTTAATACTATCCTATCCTAAATCACCTAAATACAGCAAAGCGAGGGATGGATAGTGAGTTCTCTTTGCTATGGACAGATACTAGATACATAGAAAATAGAGCAATTATATATTATTTCTAAAGATATGTTACGATAGACATGTAAGATATTAATTCCGAGATTATTTATAAAATTTTAATTTCTGGCACTAGTCGAACAAATTCTGTGCAATTTTCACCAACAAACAAGAAACCTTTCCTGTATTAAAGAAATTTTATGATTAAGTACCCATTATATTCCGTTATTGAGTAGGTATTAATTATCAACTGCCATTGCTTTGCGCTTGGATTTAAATTATTCAGATCCAAACTATTCAATTCTACACATGCCTAAAAAATTTCGAGTTGTCCAGATTTATTAGTATTCGCGTACTACGATTAGTTGTTAGGCTAGATATATTACTTAAATTTAAACTTATTGTTTTTAATTAAAAAGTGCATGCACCCGCTACATTTACATACTGTCGTATGTAAAGCGTATCGTGGCGTCTTTGAGAAAATAGCTTAACTTTAATAAAAATTATTTTTGTATTACCTGACCATGTATAGTTGCCGATACGAAAACGGCAATGGAATCCGGCCAAGGTATAGTAGTATATTGACCCCACCACCGGTTCATCACTACTGTTACATAAAAGCCCAGAACAAATGACAGTGGTATCACATTTCCATGAAAACTACAATAATTCACTATACCCTCGAAGACTCTACAACAAAATGTACTAACATTAGTTACCTACTACAGAAATAAAATTAGGATCAACAAAAACAAGGAAAATACACACCTCTTAGAGTCTTCATTTAGTAAAAGACGATAAGTTAAACTTAACATATAATATGTTAGCAAAAACACAAGAAGGTCCAGCCATACCAATTTGTAGATGCTTCCACGCCATCTATAACAAGGAAAATATTCAGATCAAGTCGTCAGTCAGCGTTGTCAAGGATATCAGTAGGCATTAAACAAAATTTTATCACTTTAAAGCAAAGCATACTCTACAGCCTATTATTTATTCAGAACAGTAACAATATAAAAAAAGGTCGTGTTTATTAATTTGATAAGATCAAACTGTATTATACTGTTTTTTATTTAATAATACAATTATGTGATTAGCAGTTTGTGAGTAAGAATCACTTACAGGACAGGACAAGTAATCGCTAGAGCCAATTCCAAAAAATAATCAACCCCGAAATATAAAGGATTTTGTAGATATTTGTAAAGACGGCTTTTTTTATGAACTTGAAAGTAAGATAATCAAGTTGTTTTCATGAGGATACCTAACACTATTTTCAAGTATAGCTAAGGTGAAATTTGAGAAAAAAGACTATTAATCTATTTTCCACGTGAGAACTCATGCTCTTGCTTGATTATTTATTATTATTATTTTGAATGTGCCCATAACTTTTTTGGCTAAATGAAAGTTAAGGAAAACGCTAAAGAAGTTTTCTCCGAAATCATCCCTTATGGATGTAAAGGGGGGGGGGGGGGGGGGGGGGGACAACACAAGTGTATACTCCCGGTATAAAAAAGTACATGTTTTAATAATGGACCTCGGAGATGTGGAACAGATGTAGAAATATTGATATGTTGACAGATGTAGTCGAGTGATAACTACTAATGAGGAGGGGTTGTAAATAGACCGATCCTCCCTCCTTTAAAAAGATTAAAATGTATCATGTGAAATATTGTTAGCCTGCGTGGTGGGACGCTCGTCCCAAGCTCCTTATCTATCTCATCGAAAGGTTCGTGATGATGTTTCATTACATTTTTACTAGAATTTTCAAATCAAAATCACTTACCTTTTGTTATTTAATGATCAAGCAGATAGATGAAAATGCAGATTCGGTAATAAAAAGCTAACCAACCACTAAATTTACGCGGAGGAAGTCCCGAGCAAAAGCTACTTTCCAATATAACATTAACATTTTGTTTTGACTCCGCGTCAGTTGTAATCGGACCTCAGTATTTTATTATACGGAATAAATAATTTGACCCACCGCTTATGCTCTTTAACTATTGCCGAATGTTCACAGAGTTCTTGCGAGCGTCTTTTTTTCCTTTGATTTTTTTTTATATCGTTTATACCCATTATTTTTTGGTAAACAAGTTTGATATGGGTGAGAAAAATCAAAGCACAGAACCGACGTTGACAGTTGCCACGGGCGTACTAAGCTTACAAGAATGACTTACTGAATGACCAGTAATAAGTGAATGACACGAAAATATAGTTTGATTTAAAATAAACTAAATACTAAAGCTATAAAATTTCATTAAGCAAAAACTTAGATTTATTAAAAAGCTATGTTAATGGTCATATTAGTTTTTAAGATATTTGATACATAAGTAAAAAAAATAACATTTATTAAAGGCATAATCTAACGAGAAATTTTTCGATAATCATGTCATGGTTATGGGCTGGTAAAAAATTTGCTTACGAGCTGAAGATATAAGTACATGTATAAAAATCACATGTACAGCATCTATATAAGTATTCTATTAACAGCGTCAAAAATGATGATTCGACTACCTATAGCGTCTTAATGCGCTCCACTAGGCATTTACATAAGTCATTTTAATTTATAAAAGATGACCACAGATTTTGGTGATCAACAAACCAACATACAGAACCAACGCGGCAAGGTTACGTACAATGTTGAAACTTAAAAAAAAACGAAGTTATCTGTGAAGGAAAATAATTTTATCTAAATCGTTGGTTGTAATATAAATCTAAAAGTAATCAGACATGAAAAAAGAACTCTACCAAAAAATGCTACCTACGTTTATTAATTTACTTTCTGAATTTCTCCGGACTTAATAAATATTGACACTTCGCGCATGAAATATTTATTATAACTATCTTCTTATGATAATCGCTCTTAAAGGCCCTAAAAACAATGTGTCCGTTCGAACCAGTTTATTTTGCGATTTAATGTTTGAAGTTTCGTTGACCTTGTAACTGCCAACTGGTAGATATAAAATACGTGTTGATGTTTTATCCGTTTCGCACGCAAAGCAATCAAGCCTGATTAGACCTAAAATAGATCAAATTAAAATATGTGCTACTTTAGCTAATAAACTGTTTGATATAGCTACATATACAGTGAATGTTCCTGAAAATAAAGATCGCTCTCTAATAGAGCTAGAACTCTATAATAAAAAATATTTACAGTTGAAGTAATTCACGTGTTTTCATATAAAGAATGTAACTTAATTACAAAATAAAGAAGGCCGTGATTGTGGCTTTTATCTTAGAGCTAAATTCCTTATTTTGATTTCATACTATAAAGATATAAAACTATACTAGGTAAATGAATTTAGTTAACTTGGTCATGCATGATGCCTATTTTCATCAAGTGCACTCCCTCATTGTTTCTCTAGCATAAAATAGATAGTTTCTAGTATGATTTTAAACTTGCAAGAAACATAGAGAAGGTACCACTCCCTTTGCAACAAAGGACATTGTTCTGCGTCCATACATAGTTAGCCTAAGAACCAACAATCATGAAATATTATTTTCTAGGTTCGGAATCGCAAAGTAAATGACTGTAAAAACAAAGATTATTGACGGACACTTCTGAGAACTTAAATTATTAGGAAAACTAATTTTTTTTTGAGGTTATGTTTAATATTCAATGAAACATAGGTCAACCTACGAACTTAGTATGAACTCAGTTTGAAGTGAATTAATATTACAACTAATTCATATCATTCGGTGCGATTTTAAAGAGTAACTATTAGGAAAAGCTTGCTTAAGTAGGAATCATGAATAAAATAAAAACTGTAGTTTTGCTTCTTATTATGTATTGGCTATTTTTCACATAATTGTATCATAATGTATTTATTTGTTTAACACATGTATATTGTGTAAATGTGCAGCGTGAATGTATATCAGGTGCTTTTGAATAATTTGGCAGTATGATCCTCCCAGGATGTTGTGGCACAGGTTCACTAGCACTTGGTAATAAGGTCTCTGCTTTTTGGTAACATCGATGGGATATTAGATAGCCGAAATAGTAAAAGTTAAATTAAAGGAATAACAATCGCAAATAAACACACACAACAGGTAATCCGAAACGAGAATTTTCCGTATATAAAAAGTATTGAAGAATGCACAAATGCCACAGATTACTACGAATGCAAACTGCCTGCACCACAACCACAGAGTATCTAGTTTATGCCGGCCCTTCACTTGACAACAGTTTGTCCTTGTCATGCTTAATAAGGAATGAAAAGGACAGACTGATGTCATGTTTTAAATAGCAAATACGAATAGCCAAGTGAAGTGCCGGCATTAGGAAGAAAGAGTGTTTTGTTTGCAACGCTGTCATAGATTATACACATATTTATTGTCTCAGATTATTTATTAACTTTTTAATTTAGCTTACTTAACTGGAAGTGTCCGTCACAATCTAAATATTGATAATTATCGCAAAAAATATACTAAGAATTATCATAAATGCCAAATTAGTGTTGGTTCTTAGGCCAATTTTAACATTGTCCTTTGCAGTCTAAGTTTTACTTTATTTCATCAAAATTTTATTATCTATTAGAAATCAGTAGATGGCGATATCGTATCTACCTAATATCTCATAATTTTTCTTTTATTGTTTTGATAAGAAAAACTTATACCAAGAAAGTACAGGCCCTGGATTATCGATATAAATTCATTACCATAAACTGGGGTGAATAACAACAATTTCTCTAGACCTTATTATCATATACGTTATATTTTGCAAATTAGAGTTATTTTGGGTAAAGATGCGTTAAGAATCTTTTTATTGACCCCAGAAGGGGTTGTAACGGCAATAAAATGATTGATTCAATAAACTAGGGTCATAAGAAAAGATATATGGGGTGAAATACAACAACTTCTTTATTTAGTTATTAATACAACAAAATATAGATAAAACATATATTTTATTTATTTCAACTTTAATAGTGTAAATTCAATAATTCTTTTTAGAACAAAATAACACCATATAAATCTTATTATCTGACGTTGTTGTGAAAAATCCTATGAGTCGTTGTGAATCGACCCTTAGGTCGTTGTTATTCGCCCCATTTTCATTACAAATAGTAACCTAAAATTTTAAATTCACATCTCATTTACAGGATTTGAAATAACGCGTACATTTTTTTTGTTTTTAAAAAAAAAACTATCAATCTTCAAAATTAAAACTATAAAGGGCTAGTTGTTGAAGTCTTGGGTGTTAATACATAATCGCAAAGTTTTTCAACTTTTCGTCCCTAACAAGTCGTTTGTTTGAAAACAGAAGTGACATGAAATGATGACAGCATCCAATCATAACAAAATGTTGCCAATACAAAAAAAAAATGTTAAAGAGCCTGGAATAACTTTTCAATAATTCATAATTTAATTCAATTTCATTATTCAATATGTATATGGCCGTTTTGACACGTTGCAATAGTGACGTCAAAAGTCAATTTATTGTCGGAAATAATTTAATATAATCAAATGCGATTTTTTTTAAATATTATCAATATTGCAAGAAGTTGCTCATCATAAAGTAAAAACGAAAACCTAAATGTTTACTCACGCTCAGCGATCATTTGTTTGTTTGTTGTTTGCGATTTCATGTTTTTACATTTAGAATTTTCCAAAAATATAAATGCTGAGTGATGTGACGACTAAGTGAACTTATATTTGTATGATATAAATATAACAGTTCGTCATGATAATAACATTAAAACAATTAGTTAATTTAATTAACTTAAGAACCTGTCAAATGGCCGGTGTTTTTATGTTAAAAATTATATTATATTTAATTGTCTTAAATTTGAAAAGATTTTCGAAATCAATATATTTAGTTAGACCATAATAAAAAATAGCTTTGCAAAATGTTTGATGGTACGCCATTAAATTACCGATTCGTT